CCTAATTTCTCAGGCTAACACTTATAGTACTAGGTTGAGTATCAGAGACAAAGGTGGGTATCCTTGTCTTGTTTATAATTTTGAAGAAAAACTTTTAAATTTTCACCATAAGAGCACTAACAACTGTGAACTTTTAATTTATGGCCTTATTCGGTTGTGGAACATTTCTTCTCTACCTAATTTGGTGAATGGGGATGGATTCAAATGCTTTTTCTGCGTTTTTTGAGATGATCAAATGGTGGTTTTCTTTATTCTGTTAGTATGGTTACTTGCATTTATTGATTTGCATATTGGTTTCCTAGTATTTTGTTGAGGATTTTTGTATCATTTATCATGGATTTGGGGGGCATTTAGTTATCTTTTCTTATAGTAACTTTGGCTTTAGCAGTAGAGTAGTGTTGGGCCTGTAAAATGAGCTGGAAGTATTTCCTTCCTTTAACTTTTGGGAAGATTTTGAGGACTGGTGTCCTTTAAATGCTTTGTAGAATTCAGCAATGAGCCCATCAGGCCCTGAGGATTTCTTTAATGGGAGACTTTTTTTTTGGTTTTCTTTTTTGGCACTGGGAATCGAACTCACAACCTTGCACTTGCCAGGCAGGCGCTGTGCCGCTGAGCTAAATCCCCAGCCCCTAATGGGAGACTTTTTAAATAAATATTTCAATCTCCTTTCTCATTTGTGATTCAATCTTGACAGGTTATGTGCTTCTAATAATTTATCCATTTCTTCTAGGTAGATAAACTATTGATATATAATTGTTCATAGCTGTTTCTTATGAACCTTTGTACTTCTATTTTATGGACTTGAATGTTTCCTCTTTCATGAGTACTTTTTTCTCTTACCTTAGTCTAGGTATAGTTTGTCAATCTTGTTTAGCTTTATAAAAAACAAAAAACTCTTACTATTGTTTTGCCAATTTATTTGAGTTATTTCTGCCCCTATGTAACTTTGGGCTTAGTCTGCCTTTTTTAAGTTATTGAAGTAAAATGTTAGGTTGTTTAAGATTTTCCTGTTTTGATATGCATTTACTGCTATGTTCTTCTCTTAGAACATGTTATATTCCAAATTTTTAGTATATTTTTTCATTCTTTTCTCAAGAAATCTGACTATTAATTTCTTCCTTGACTCAACAGTTGTGCTACTGTTTAATTTCTAACCATTTGTGAATTTTCAATGATTTTTCCTGTCACGGATTTCTAGGTTTGCTTCAGTATAGTTGGTAAAGATACTTGATTAAAATCTTCAATTTGTTAAGATTATTTTTGTGGCCTAATAAATTATCAATACTAAAGAATGCATCATGGGAACTTGAGAGAGCTGTGCATTCCGCCATGGTTTGATGGCGTTTTCTGCATACATATGTTAGGGCATTCGGTCTAAACCACAATTCAAGACCAGTGTTTCTGTACTGACTGGATGCTTGAGCTGTTTATTGTTGAAAGTGAGGTACTGAAAACCCTTATTAATCCCTTGCAGTCTATGTCTTCTTTCAGATCTTTTAATATTTTTATAAATTTAGGTCACTTGCTTTTATGTGCTTTGACATTTATAACATATTCTTGTTGAACTGACCCCTTCACCTATAACGACCTTGTCTCTTTACAGTTTTGACCTAAGCTCT